CCTTCTGGAAGTGGAAAGCTGTCTTGCACAGGGACCGTGTACACCGCCACCATAAAGTAGGTCGGCCGTCCCCGCTGGTCAATCCCCTTCTTGTGAGGCCCGCTCAAGTCTATACTCAGAGTATAGGATTCAGGATGTTGTAGCCGACGCCTTGGTCGATCTCTCCCTGCACCTTCAAGACAAACTGCACAATCTCGTCGGAAAGGTTTGTGTCCATTTGAAACATGCAGTTGCCACTCTTTGATTTGTCTTTGCTCCACCGCAGACAGTGCACATACTGCAGGAGTCTGCGTGTTGACCCTGTTGATGCCCTTCACCAAGAGGTTCTTCAAGCCCGGTGCCCATGACGCCAAAGAGCTCGAAAGTTCCATGCGCTTATTGAGTTCTGAGGGCCATTCCTTGGAAGATCCCCTTGACATCAAACCTTGTAGGTCAAAAAGTTCTTTCATTGATGTCAAAACCGTAGTTGGTTTGTTCGTTTGATGTCCAAGTGCACCTTGATGGAAACTGATCCTTCGCAAGTGGCATTTCTTCACCATCACCTCAGTCTCAGGCCATGCCAGGAAGCTTGGAAAGCCATTCCAACCAGGGATCTTCTCTTTAATGTCCACCGGTGGTTGCTTCCACTGTTCAGGATCTTGTGGTTGTTCCAAGGTGATCTCCAAGTTCTGGTTCGCCTCATAGGCTTGCACTGCCAGCCAGAGCGTCCTCATCCAGAGCAAGTTGTCATTGCAGACCAGCTTGAGCTCCTCTTCCGTGAGGCCATTTCTGCCAAACCGTTCACTGCCATGTCTTGCCCGAACGATCTGTGGTCCATCATCACCTTCAAGAGATCGTAGTCGGCAAACGCTCACAGACCTACATGGTGGTCCAGCAAGAAGAACATCAATCCTGCCGCTCCTCGCCAGTTGTTCCAGCCACCCATACAAATGGCCATTTCGAAGGTCAGCCCCCTTCGCCAGCTCAATGCAGATGATGACAACACCATTCTTCTCCTGTGCCATCCAGAACTTTGGATCATCTCCTGAAAAGAGATGCACCACCAAGGTTTTCGCACGTTGAACTTTTCGTCGATGATGTCTGTTGAAGACCACTTGGTTCATGTCGACCTCAGCAAAACCTGGAATTTCCTTTGCCAGATCTGCAGGCACCTCAGGAAAAATTGACTTGAGTTTCTTGACTATCTCCACTTCTGGACACGCTTTTGGCAGTTCCAAGTTTGGTCTGATGGCTGCCAGTTTCATCTGTGTCTCCCTTCGTTGATGATCTTCGACCTGTTGAAGGATGTCTACCCCTTCTCGCCGAGGCAACGTTGGACACCCCTGATCGAGCCGCACTGGTAGTTGAGCTCCATCTGGTGAATTGATCTTACAGCCAGAGCCTGTCCACTTCACCTCATAGCCCAGCCTTGTCAATGCTGCCATAGGAATGATCATCTGGACGTCATGGAGTGTCAACAAAGACCCTGTCACCGCATCTTGTTTCAGTTCTGCGGTTCCTGACGCCAAAGCGACTTGAACTGGTTCTCCAAGATCCCATTCTTCTCGAGATTTGGCCTTTCTCAACACGTGAGTGGCCCCACCATCGATCAAAACCCTTTGATTCTTGCCCATGTCAATCTTCCGGAGGTTCACCGTCTTGACATGGCGATATGCTGTTGAGGAGGATTCCGGGGTTTTAAGAGTCTTTATCAACGATGATACCTCAGTCACCAACGTCGAAGTCTCCCCCGTACCAGCACCTGATGTTCCTTTTGAGTCAGCTGGTACTTCTTTTCCTCCATCAGTTTCAACTTTCTTCACATTCTTTTGATCATCTTTGGATCCTGCTGAGTTGCCCTTCTGGTCATCTCTGTTGGCTTTGCCACTTTTACCCTTGTAGCCGTAGCTTTTTCCACCCTGTTTTCCAGAGCTTTTTCCATCACCACCACCGGCACCACTCCCCCCGGCTGGAGAACCTTTTGAAGCTCCAGTCGTAGTGTTGCTCTTGTCCTCCTTGGTTGGAGAGTTGTATGGGCAATCCGGTTTCTTGTGGTTCGTTGCGCCACAAGTGTAGCAGTGGTATTTGCCATCTTCATGCGCTGGATGTTGGAACTTGCATTGTGCTCCTTGTCGACATCCTTGATCTGACTTCCAGAAGCGGCATACAGGTTGTGCTGGACTACCAGCTTTGTTATCCTTCAGGGTTTTCACTGCAGGGCTTCCTTGACCTTTTCCATGCGTTTCTTGACTACCCATGGCAAGTTCAACTTCTGCTAGAAGCATCTGATGAAGTTGCTTGACCGTGGCAGCTGTGGGCTTTGTGTCAACTTGTGCCCCCATTCGAAAAGCACTGAGGCGGAAGTTCGCCTGAGGATTCCCTTGTAACAACTTTGACATGATCTTGTCAAGCGCACCTACCATCAAAGTAGGGTCTGGAACTGTTGCACCCAGCTCTTCAGCTCGTGAGTGATGCCTTTGCCACATTCTCAAAGACGTGGAAGCTTCCAGGTACGTTCCAGCAGGTTGTGTTGTTGTGAGAGCTTGCAAAGTGTTTTGTCGTTCACCCAAGCCCCCTGGCTGGTAGACCTTCATCACCTTGAAGATGATCTGAGCAGCCCCAAGCTGGCGATTTGCAATCATCTCAGCAGCCAGAGTCTTTGGAAGGGCCTGCATGAGCAAAGACGTCACCCTCTGCTCCAACCTCGTAAACCCTTTTGGCAATTCCTCAATTGTAGGAGGTTGCACATTGAGTCGAGTGATGGGCACTTCCCAACCATTGTTGATAACGTTGAGTGGTCATGGTCACCAAAGTATCCCACCACCACATTGCACGGTGACTAACATCAGCAATTTGTGGACGGATTTGGGCCATCCAGTCACCTGCTTCAAGACCTTGATTTTTCCCTCCCAATTCCGGGAGCTTCGGCAGAGTGATGGTCACCGGCTTGAGCTCTTCCTCACGAGGCCGATCATCTTGAACTCCACCACCCAAGGAACTTCTTGGGTCACCAATTCCACCTCCTTGATGTTGACCTCCACCTTGACCAAGATTCCCAAACTGGCCTCCTTGATATTCAAGTTGGTTTCCAGCTATAGAAGGTTCTTGTTGATGAAGATATGGATTCCCACTGTTCACCTGGATCCAGTCGCGCATGTTGACGTCATTGCAAGCTTGACGAAGATGCCATTGAGCTCCCGGCGGATCAGCACTTGGAGGTCCCACTCTTTGAAATGGTTGAGATCCATATGCACCCAAAGGTTCTTGACCAGGTAGTCGTCGCATAGTCAAAGCTTCGCGAAGATCCCTGAGTTCTTGCTCAAGTCGTTGAACCCTTTCCGCTTCGGGATCAGGTACTTGTTGGATTCCTCCTCTTCTGCTATTCCAGAAGCCATGTACCTCTCCATCACCTTGTTGAACACCAACACGTACTGCTTGAGGTCCAAGCCACTTGTTCACCCCCGCTTCATTGTGCTCCTCATATCCCCCAAAAAGCATTGGTGGCACCGGAGGCAATGGCGGCGGCATAGGATCCTTCTCCACCTTGTCAATGGGCGGTGGTCCATCTGGAAGTTGAGTTCCACCAGGAGTGACTTTGGCCACATCTTTGGTCTGGCGGTTTGTAGGTGTTGTTGGAGTCGCCCTTGAAGGAATCGATTCCCAACTCGAAGTATCTAATTCATCACGTTGTTGATCTTGTTGAGCATGTTGACCTTGTTGTCCATGAGAAGAAGGCTGGTTCTTGTCCATCGCATCCAACCTTTTGCGAAGCTCCTCATTTTCTTGCATCAACTGCTGCACCAACAACGAACTCAAATCTTGCTCCAACGTTGAACCTGTCTGGTCTTTCGGTTGGATTTTCTTGGGTTCCGCACGGAGTTCTTTTCCTTGCAGATGGTCTTTGGCACGATCTTCACCTCTAGACCTACTTTGATCGTTCCGATGACGGTCTCCAGAAAGTCCACGTGAGTCTCGATCGTTTCCATGACGACTTCCTCCACGTTGTGGATCTTTTGGACTTTGGGCCCTTCCACGTTGCAGAGCTGAGACATCACCATGTGAACCTCTTAGAACATCACCCAGAAGATCCAGAGAACGTTGCCTTTGTCCAGGAGGTTCCCTTTCCCTTCCTTCTCGATCTTGCCGTAGAGGTCCTTGAGAACGAAGTCTATCACCTTGTCGTTCTCCCTGATCGTTTCCCCCTTGACCTTTCCCTCGATGTCCTTCACCACCAAGAGGGCCAAGAAGATCTACTTGAGGAATTCCTGCACATGAGGATTGCTGCGCCAGGTCCTCATCAAAGTCAAAGAGATTGAAGTTCGAAGCTTCTTCCTCCATCCTGAACACCTGAGTGCCCTGTGGTCCTGGAGTGTGAGGCTCCCAGCTGCTAGGTGTCTCAAATGCCACAGCTGGCATTCTGCCTTGACTTCTCAGCAGTCCCCCACCGCTGCCCATCGCTCGAGGAAGCCCTTGCACCGGTCTTGGTGTTTCATCTCCATCCCAATCATCAGCTGGTACTGGAGGTAGGCTTTCTGGAGTTACCCGGACTGGCGGTAGGTTGGCTGGTCTCAGCCTGTCCACCATTGCTGCCTCTTGTACTCCTTGGGACCAAAAAGGGTTCACCGGCTCACCTTCATTCAAGTGAAGACGCCCTTCTCGGTGTCCTGGAACACTTCTACCTCGTCGATGCGCCATGTTTCAGCGACGAGAGGCACGGTTTGGGCTCATAACCTGCTTGCGGAGCAGCGTGAGCACCTGTTTTTCTTGGGCTAAAAGAAGCCTGCAGCAAGAAGTGGTTGTTACTCACTGCAGTCTTAGTTTGTAGTACAGATACTACACTTGTTCATAGCCATAAGGCCTGTTTCTGAAAACCCTTTTGCAGTTTCAAAATGAGGAATTAAACCCCATGGAAACCGCGTGAATCAACCAGTGGATTTTGGACCCCATTTTCACACAAAGCCAACACAAGCGATTTCGTCCATACCCCGGCCCCAATGCTTACCTCTCCACAGCAACCTGTCCTGGTCGCCCAAATCCCCGGCACGGCCGATGCCGGAGGAGTCAATGCCCCCAAAGGGCGCGTTGCGGATGAATTCGCAATGTCTGTTCACCCACACCGTGCCGGCCTGCCCAGGGTACATTTGGTTTGGTTACGTTTGGTTGATGTGGGTGATGGGGTTGCAAAAAAATCATGAATAACTACAACAAGAAGAAAGCAACAAAAATCTTGAACAGAAACCGTGGATTTGAAGGCCAAATGCTTCCGAAAGTCCATTGACTGAAGAAATTGCAAATGGGTATCGAATATCAGTATGTCATCCACTTCGGCATGAACTATCACCAGCACTGGGTTCTTCAACCTTGGCTATCCTAAAACCTCTTTGTCAACAGCCTATCCCTGCCTTCAAGCGGTTGGCGATCTCGTTGGCCTGATGGCCACTTTAAAGAAATCCATGGAAATGCTGGAACCAAATGGGAAATTCAAATATATTCAAATTATATGAATACATCCACAAAATCCACAAATGCATGTCGTTTGAATATATTCAAATCTGACGTGGGAATGGCTCAACAAACCGCAACAAGCCTCAACACGGCACACGGCTCAACCCGCGACGGTGTGAGCCCATCCATTTGGTCCCACGACGTCCCACGCCTTCTCCAAGTTTTCGCTCCAAATGGATGCGCCCAAGCCGTACTTGGTGCTGTTGGCCCTCAAAATCGCCTCTTCGTCATCCTGACACAGCACATGAAACATGGTGAAACATGCTTGAAACATGGTGAAACATGCTTGAAACATAGTGAAAGTGAGATGTGGAGGGTGAGACACGTTTCTGCTGAAAGGCTGAAAGCCTCTTGATTGATGTCCAGCCCATCTGAATTGATAGCTTCATCCGCAATCAGCACAGTTTCAGCTGCTGAACGGCCTTGTAGGGCATCACTGGCACCACTGGGCCAAACTGCTCCTCATCCACGAGCCGTGTGCCCTGGGACCACATTGTGCCACACTCGATTTGCACACTTTAGATCGGAATGACAACAAAATTATAGATTTAGATATCAAATAGATATCAATTTTTCAAAGTAGATCGGGCTTCAGAGTTGAAGACTTTGAGATTGGTAGAGATTGAAGAGATGTCTGCAGTCGGCCTCTGCAACATCCACCACGATGGTTGGAAGATAGAACAGCCCTGTGTTAGAACCTCGGGGCCGGAAGCCGCCGGAAGCCGCCGGAAGCTGAGTTTCACCGTGTCACGGTGTCACCGGTGTCACAGTCTTGGTGAGGGAGACAACTCTTGAAATAGCGGTGACTCACAGCCATGCTGGTTGCAGTGGTGTTACAGACATAGTGAGTGACAAAACAGTGATGATTGATGGTTACATGCGTTACACATGCGTTACATATGCGTTACATATGCGTTACATATGCGGCATATGCGTTACATGACCCACGTCTTTCCTGCCCTGAAATGGAGCTCGCTGCGCATCTCTGAGGTCTGGACTCACATCTCCCGGTGGCCCGGCAGTGGCCTTAAAGATGGCGTCCCTTAAAATGCTGAAGAAGCTATGCTGAAGCTCCTAAAATACTAAGACCATAAAGAGGTCATCCTGTCATCCTCCATAAAAAATCGAAATAAGATAAATAAGGAGATCCACGTCTTCCGAATCTAGAGAGAAAATGAGCTGTTTCCGCACTTCTGTGTGATTGAGCATTGCTGGGGGAAGACCCAGTATCATCCGAAGAACAACCCTTCTTTTGGTGAAATGTTCGTATAGGATGATATCTGGATGATATCCCTACCTGTATTGGTTACATCTACTTGTAACTCCAGTTGTTTCTGCAATCCGGCCAGGCGCAACCAAGCCACACCACCACCGCAAAGGACGCGACCACCCTTGCGACGTGCGTCCTGAACGCTGGGGTGATCAGTCACTAAGCTCCAAGAAGCCCACGTTGCTTGCTTCTTGGACCCATGCTTATCAGCTGTCTTCCCATTCTTATGCTATCCAAATCCCTACTCCCGCTGTTCACGCCTCCAATTTTCCAAGATTCATCCCCTTTTTGCAGATTCATCTTCACCTTTCAGTTGGGACAATTCCACTTTTCTACCTGATTATCTTCCATTAAATACTCAATTTTGCCGGTAAAGAGTCCCTTGTCTTGACAGCCTAAGCTCATTTTTCTTGGTTCTCTTCCCCCACTTTTTGTAGCAAAGCACCCGGAATTTTGTGCCCCTCTCACGGCCTCCACTAGCTCGGTCACATGCTTCAGCTGCACAGCACTGGCCTCGGAGAAACATGGAGAAACCCGGGAAATTGGTCGGCTGGTCGGCTTTCAATTAGATATCTAAAGATCATGACATGAGCCAAACCAAGGACCTCAGGTGTTTGGATGGTCAAGCTGCCAGGGGCCCCAGTTCAGTGCTGGCAGACAAGCCATTGCCCAACACCGCCATGCGAGCGCGCTTGCAGAAGGCCTGAAATGTCTGGTTTACACAGTGAAATTCACACAGCTTACCAACCAAATCCAACCAAAAATAGGATCAAACCATTTGAAGATGTTTGGCCAACAATAGTGATGCACAACTGACAAGGGCAGGTTCGTGGCGATTTTAACCACGACTGGGACTTTCACCTTGTGATGACAAGTGTCACATTGCCTGTCATTGCCTTGTGTTTACTTGTGTCAAACCCCGGCATTTGGTGTTGAAATCTCCATTTCCATCTCCAGTTTTGAACTCCCGATCTTCTCCGAGTATCGAGAAATTGGCTACATCCCACCAGGCGCCTCCACAAATTCATCGTAAATCTTCTCCTGCGTAGCAAGTGACAAGTGTTTACTGGGGAAAATGTCACCAACAGAGGGGGATTCAACCAACCATGGAAGGGAACAAAAAGCCACACTGGGTAGCAAAGACTACAACTGGAGCCACACGAACCGATGTTGGGACGGTACCAACAGTGCAGAGATTTATCCCCATAAGAAATGGTTTACAACCACTCATCACCGTCACTATCAGCAAGAGACCCACGAGAAACCCAGGTTCAATAAGTTCAATTCAGAACCAGCTGGACACCGCTGGTCGCCTGGACATAGATCCGCTTGGCAGCGCAGCAGGTCTGTCCATTGTTGAAGAACCTCAGCCACCGGGTCATCGAGAAGTCGGGAGCTGACAGGAAAACCCACAGACAAATGGGTGCAAGGAGGACATCTAACATCATCTAAACATATCTAAACTATACATGAGCTTGATGGATTTGGCCAGAATTGGGGATCAAAGGCACAGCACAATTTATTTTTATCCAAGTTCTGGTGAATTGTCGCTCGAGAAGGCTGAATAGAGTTCTTGATGGGATACAGACGCACCTGGATGTTGGATGTTTTTTATTGGGATTTGACTGTTCTATGCAGTTCATCTACTGGTCCCTCTGCTCAACATCATACGTCTATGTCCACTTGGCAAGCATGTTTTTACCCAAACTTTACGACAAACTACCTGCAGCGTTTTTTGACCCTGTCCCACTTGGAACCCATGGAATTCTATTGAAATTCAAGAGGCCAATTGCACTATTTGGTTTTGTTCACCCGCCAAGGGGCGCTCCTTTGAACAGGCCTTCGGCCGTCTTTTCGACGTCAGCGTCTTCCCTCACGATCCTTGGAGGCGGACAATTGACAGCTCAGGATAAATCTCATGGCTGCAATTCCAAATAAGATCTAAGCCTAAACTTTCTGAAGAAATTGGACACAAACAACTGAAGGCAATGCCAGGAAACAGAAGGAATCAGTCAACCAATCGCTCAGTCAAAGCAGGCTACCCTTCACATATACTGAAATAGTTGCAGGTGTATTCACATGTATTTACCAGTTAGTACTGGCATCTGTCATATATGCCAACCATTTTCAGCCATTCAATGTCACTGTGAATGTCAATCTTACTGGACTTCTTTCTTGCCAAATTGTATCTGGGTCATGGTGGAATCAGACGCATGCGACCTAGGGAGGACCAGACCCTGGAGTGAGGACGGACCAGTTGGAGAATATGTGCAGGGTATCTAGAGATATTGTGAGATATTCTTGATTTGCCGCAAACGTCCACCGTACCTCCAAAAAGAATGCTATCGAAAGCCATCTGGAACAATGAAGCTTGATGCATTTCTGGAATTGCATCCTGCTATGTTCGTCTCTCTCTCTTTCTCTCTCGACACTTCTCCTGGTTTTTCTTCATTGAATGACTCCCGGAATCGCCCACGCTGCTAGCCTTTTCCAGCAGATCATATCTAGGCCGCAGAGGGGTCCGTAATTTCGGCAAGGTTGCCTTGGAATCTTCGCGTTTTGGTTCAAAACACACGCTTGTCTGCAAGATCGCCCTGGGGTGCTGTGTCTTGTTATGTCTGCTTGGCACAACAATGTGTTGTCTGGACACTTCACGAACAGGCATTCACAATCACATCCTCTCCGGCTGTTGAAATCATATGGGTAGAAACGCAGGAACCGGATCTGGAGATATCTGGAGGGTCGTCATCTAAAACGGCCACCCGAGTTTGTTTTTGAGGTATAAACCGTATAAACCCCACAAAGCCGACCAGCTCGAGGGCGTAGATCAGGGCAGCAAGTAGAAGTAACCACCGGCCATGCATGCCACTGGACCATGCGAACCAGTTCTGAAAGAAGATCAAACCACTCAAACTCCCGTGCAAATACCTGCGGGACATCCCAGCTGATGCCTTGTCTAACATCAAGTGCTCCACACCAAAGTGGCCATGCCCCACTTTGCACATCAACATGTTGGTGCCTGTTGCCATGAGCACCACTGGCAGCAGAACAGGCACCAAGGCTCCCCAAAGCAAAGCTACTTCAGCCCAAGTCACCAACAAACTTGCTTGCTGACCATGTTCCAAGGAAAGACTGGTACAAATCAGATTGCGCCACATGTAGAGCTGCCCTCCTTCCCGATACGACATTTGCCACCTGGGGAGCATTGAGCATGGCTTGACAATGCTTGACAATGCTTGACAATGCTTGACGTCCCTGACAAACATGTGACTAAGGCTAAGATGGGCTAAGATAGGCTGAGATCCCAGGACCCTCCACACCACAAGTCTCAAGAAACAATGCATGAAGCAACAGAACAACACAGAACAACATAACATCATCATCTACATATTATCCACATATCATCTACATATATCTAGATCATCCTGGTTGTGTTCAATCAAAACAGCACCTGAGCAAGGTGATGATGGGCTGCAGGAAGGCACGGGTGACCATCTTCGACACCAACAAAGGTGCCATGGTATTGATCACGGCACGTGGACATGCACTGTCACTCCACCAAGACTCCTTTGCTGAACACAGGTCCGCTTTGGGCTCAAGAATCGAGTGGTCACCCAGACTGATGTTGAAGAGCTTGTAGTCTTCTGTGCTTTCATCGCAAACCTGGTTTGGGTGTTGACCCACCCCCAAAATTATGAATCACTGCCTGTGTTATTTGACATGGATGGTACACATCAAAAGGATCCAAAAAGTAGTTCTGCGCGTGTGCGCAAGAAAAGAAGAAATGTTGCATGGGCCTGCCCCGCACTTCATATCTAGAGCCGTGTCATGCGTCGTCATACTAGCTGACACAATGGGATACAATGATATCAACATATATCAACTATACAAGGCAAGTTGGCGATGGTGCACAAAGCCTGGCAACTTTCCAAAAATGGGTCCAGCCGTTCATGCAGTGGGTGGTCAGATAGAGTGTGCTCAGCACGGCAGCTAACTGGGTCCAGCCGTTCATGCAGTGGGTGGTCAGATAGAGTGTGCTCAGCACGGCAGCTAACCACATCGTCCCCAGACGTGCAGCCATCAACAACATCGATCTGCGCAAGCCAGTGGCATCTGAAAAAAATGCCACCAGTTTGGGGGTAATAAACATGTCCACCAGGACCATGACCAAAGCAGCTTGGTAATGAAAAAACTTCAGCCACCAAGCCGACAGCTTCAGGGTATTGTTGAAAGGGATGGCGCTCACCACTGCATATGCTACAGAGGGGAAAGATAAAAGGGCCACAATGCACAACCAACAGCAACTGTAGATCACTTTCAGAAGAAATGCCGAGCGGGATGTTGTCTCCTCCGCACTGGGAGTGGGAGCACGTCGCAAAAAGCAGGCACCAACTGCAATCCAACAAGTCCACAACCCTGCCACAGACCATTCCACCAACGCATTGCCATGGTAAGGGTTCGAAAAATTGCTCAGCGTAGAGGATGGAAAGCCAATACTACAAGCGTAGTATCGTGCATTGGCAAAGTAAAAGGCAAAGAGAACTACAGCCAGAACTGACAAAGTGGCACCCATTTCAAGGAGAAACATGTGTGCTTTCCTTGTCTGTTTCGCGCCCGCTTTTGACAACAAAATGTGGCGAAGCCCACTGCTTCCAACCAAAAGCAACAAGCACAATGCGCTCGTTGATGCCAACAACAGCATCCTTTTCAAGATTTCACTGGACTTGTTGTCGGATAGGTAGAGAAAAGGTTGATGTTCATCAGTGTGTATCCACTGCGGCAATGCATGGCTTCCATTCCCCAACATGTTTCCAATCAATGTGATCGAACGCATGTGATCGGGGTAGCTGGTCACGTCTTCTGGTAAGCTGCATGAAAGTCGATTCTGGTGCAGCAACAGAATAGGACCCCGTGCACTGGCAGTACTGCACATCTGGCATGCCTTTGGACAATGCAATGCAACCTCTCGGTTGGTGCGGCAGGCGCTCAATGGTGAGGCAGGGTCAAGGGCAGAAAAATAAAAGCATGTGTGTTGGCCCGTGCGGAAGGATTCATCGTCGACGCAGCCTTTGTGAATGCTTAATGGTGGAATTGGACCCACCAAATAGTTCGAGTGTGCGGAAAAGAAAAACAACCTTGATGCATTCGCAAGCTCTTGCGGAAGGCCACCGTACAGTCGGTTTTCATGGAGGGTGAGGACATTCAAATTCGGAAGTTCCACAAGTCTTCTGGGCACTTCTTCAGTCAATGAATTTCTGTGTAGGGTCAGAACCTCCAAAGCACTCAAGTCGCTCAAGCAAGGCGGTATCGCGCGCAGGGCATTGCGATGCAAGTAAAGTGTCTTCAAACTATCACCAAATCCGAGTTTGCAAATCTCTGAGTCACGGATTCGATTGGCATGAAGCAACGCAACTTTCAAACGTGTCAAGTTTCCAGTGCTTTCGGAAATTCTTTCCAAAAAGTTGTCGTGCAACGAAAGCATTACCAACCGCGTCATGTTGCCAAAGCCTGGCAAAGCTCTTAGGCGGTTCTTGGCAGCTCTCAGTACCACCAAGTTTTTTGCGCTCAGGTGAGGAATTGACGTTAGACGATTAGAATCCAATTGCAAATTAAACATGTGCAATTTGTCCATGGACTCAGGCAATGAACTCAAACGGTTGGAGTTCAAAGTCAATATTTCCAAATGTGTCAAGTTTCCAATAGAATCAGGAAGTGCGGACAGCTGATTGTTGTCCACATGCAGCTGTTTGAGGCTCTGCAACTGTGAAATGGACTCAGGCAAAGATGTGAGTTTGTTTGATTGTAACCGAAGCCTATGGAGTGATTGCAACTCCCCAATCGAATCAGGCAATGACGTGAGCTGGTTGTTGTCTATGTCGAAATACGCCAGCGATCGCAACCCCCCTAATTCAAACAGCTCAGCCAACCTGTTGGACCCGAGATTCAGAAACATGAGCCGCCGCAACTGTCCAACAGACTCCGGCACGACTGTCAGTTGATTTGATTTCAGGATAAGGTCATTCAGTGACTCCATCTGTCCAATAGAATCAGGTAGTCTGGTCAGGTTGTTGTTCCGCAAGTCCAGATCCGATAGAGATCGCAACTGTCCAATGGAATCGGGCAAAGAAACCAACTGGTTGGAGCGTAACAGGAGGAACTTGAGTGATTGCAGTTGCTCCACTGCATCTGGAAGTGAAGTCAGCCAATTTCCGCTCAAATCCAGCAATTTCAATTGCAACTTCCAAATCACAGGAGGTATTTCAGTCAATAGATTGTCGTTCAAAACCAACACCTCTAGAGACTTCAGCTGTCCAATTGACTCGGGGAGCGAAGTGATATTCAGCCGTGGGAAAAATAAATGGCTGACAGTGCTGACAGTGTGGTTATCGCAGCCCACTTGACGAAGCGCGCATGGATCTTTTCCCTCCCAAGGGAGGTTGGCTACTTGAAACATCTCGCGCAAGGCTTCCACTTCCGCACTGGGCAAACTCGCAAAAGCAAGGTGGAGAGACGATAAACCAATACAAAGAAGCCAGCAACTTCGGCAAATCAACATGGCTCGGGCACACATCTCTAGGTCTTCTTGTCCATCTTGGTTTGGACATGATCACGCCACTTAGACCGATTAACATCGATTCACATTGATTAAGATCGATTAACATCAACAGTTTCACATACCATTAGCGTCAACGAAGCGGCTATGACTCGTCAGTCATACTAAATGTAGTGTGTTTAGCGGTGTCGTGTTGTTCACGCGGACTGCCTGAATGACTAAAGACGACAGCTGCAAAACAGCTGCAGAACCACTGATCATGATAAGATCATGTTGCTGTCGGCAAGAACCCAAGGCATTCGGACTTGAAACCGTGGCCTGCTAAGGTCACAGCCTTTGAAATCTTTGAGAGCCAGAATGTTTATTTGAACAGCGTGTGTGGTTGCTCAGGCAACAGTACGAATGCGGCCCTCAGAGTGTCCACAGAATCAGGGCAACAAGAAAACAATATATGAAAACTATGAAAATGGTTTACATCGCATAACCGCAATTCAAATCTGCACACCGGGAAGGCCTGCAAAACCACAACCTCTGGCAAATTCGATACGGAAATATGATGGAATCATGCTTTGTCAAACAAGACAAAAGATACATGGAGATTCCATAAGGGTTCTCTTGATTAAAGTATATTGAAAAGTATTGAAATTAAATGTCCATTGGTAGTTTCAACCTGACTTGTAAAATCTCATAGTCGGGTGAAATGATCTTCCCAGTACCGCTGAGAATTCATTCAGCAAACTACCCACAAGCTCAAGTCTTAGGGTGTCAAACCACCTACCCAGCCTTAGATAGCAAACGCCTATCATCCACGTGGGGGATCAGCATTTATCAGATTTTAAGGCCATCAATGACAGCTGCGTGAGACACCGTGAGACAGTTCACTGAAGCAGTGCTGAATTTTGGAATAGGTTCAAATTTGAGCCCCTGGTGAATCAAACTATCCGCGCTTGCTGCTCAAAAGGTGTTGGCTACATACTCACAACCTGTTGGGAAGGCATGTCCATCATCGTTGGTGTATCTGCTTTTGGTATCTTCATATATCTTCCTCAGCTCCATACCTCCATGCCATTCCATGCCCATGGATGAGTCAATAGGTGGATACGCTGGTCCCACCTTGGTCACCTTGGTCCCCAACCTGTTGATGTTTCGCGTTTTCACCTCCACTGAACCTCCATTTCCCGCCAAGTTGTTCCCGCCAAGTTGCGCGGGGTCGTTGCCTGGAGCCCAACATGACTTCTCTCAGTGGAGAATTATCCAAACCACTCAGAGTCAACAATCCAAATCCCAGGTCGACAGGTGCCTTTTTGTGTTTTCGGATTTTCATTTGCTCAACATTTTCGCAGATCCTTCTGATGCACAAAATGCCACAACAAAATGCCACAGGTGAGATTCGCCCCTACACAGCCTCCCAGTTCCAGCAGCACGCGCTTGAAGCCGTTGTTGGCACAAGCTTCCATGACCTGGACCCCAGATCCCAAAAGTGTAAAGAATCAAAATCATCCAAAAGCATCCACCATCCGAAAGCCCTAGCTTTTCATGAGCTTTCCAGGTGACACCATCCATTTCCAATTACTGTTGTTCAATTTGTCCAAAGTTTTTACCATGAATTTGTCCCCAATCCGTGACGGTGACGTGCCTTGCTGCCAATGGCCGTGGAGCCAGTGAAGACGACCTTCCGCACCTGTCGAAACTCTCGGATAACCAATGGATAACCAATATAGAAAATCAATGAAAATCAGATACGACTCATTCTCCGAGAGTTTATATATACAAAAATACATCAAGGACTAAAGGACTCAAATTCAATCAATCGTTCATGAATGTTTATTCAATTGATTTCGTTGCTGGTAACATTCTAAGATCCTGTGAATTGCGTTTATATCCATATATGAACAGGTGATATACGCAAGAAAACCATGGAAACCATAGAAACCGTGGTCCAAATTGAACATTCCCAAACTGACCCACTGACCCATGGACGAGGTGCTAGTTCGTTGCGGGTCAAGATCTCTCCTGGCCTGGAACGGCGAAAAACTGGGGGTAGAACGGTAGAACCCACAATGGATGGATCTTTACAACAAAAACACCTATCGGACCAAAAAAGCCAAACAAAAAATAGTTCAACTGAGATGAACATGAACAAATCTATTAAATCTATGGCTTTGTTATGGCTGCTTTGTTGATTTGCTTTTGATCCATGCCCGCGCTGGCTCAAATCCATAAAACTGCTGAAAACTGCTTCTACAAAAGTCAGATACCCAGGCACTGGATTTTTGGCGGTCTGCTCTGCATGGTTCCAGCTCTGAAAATGTCAATCTGAAGATCGTCTCAGAGATACCTTGCCTGAGCCCCACGTTGTCGGAGCCCACCACGACGTTCAACACTCCTGGTTCAACGAACAGAGATGGCATGAGGGTGTCCAGGGTTCGGTACGTCATAACGACGACGGGGTCAAAGTGATAAATTGATCTTTTCATTTCATGAAAACACATCAGCTGTACCAATGGAGGTGTGTAAATAAGGTTTTAAGCATGGAATTGGGATGTACACTTGTCCGTTATGCATACAGTGCACGAGAAATCTTAACCACTAACCACCTGTACGTTGCGCTCATCCTGTGTGATCTTCACTCATCATTCCAGTACGTCCAGTAGTATGTGATGATTTCGTCAAATGCCGAACTTGTTGGCTCCACCAGCTTCCAGAAGCGAGGGAATCTAATCCAACTGAATCTGATCTGTTTCTATTATTTCTATTCCCTCTTCCTGGCTCCCATTTCTCGATTTCCTCAAAATCGCCACTGGTTAGGGGCGGGTTAGTTACCTTTCCCATGTTTCCCACTGTTCCAACATCTTCAAATCACTGCTGAAATTTCTGACGCCCCTCCTCGCGGCAGGATGGGGCGCAAGAGCTCACCGATGCGCAGCGTGGTCAGCGGCGTCTGAGGTGCAGGTTTCAAGACCACCTGGACGATGCTCAGATCAAAGCCATGAAGCCATGAAAACCATGAAAAATGGATGGTGAACTTTGTTTGGACTCAATTTTCCGGAAAAAAAATGTGGAATTAACTCATTGAACCATGAAACATATCGGGAAATTCACCTTGAACAAGACGAGGAATTGACTCAGAACTGGGGGGCTGTCAAACCAACCGATTTATTGGGGCGTTGTGGGATGTTTCATGGGATATATCAACACTATGAAATGGGGTTCACCAAGAAAAAACTGAGGTTCAACATCAACCAGTCATCAAAAATTGGTCACACCCATCCAACACAAATGTGTTTCCCATCCCTGGTTTTTTCTTTCAGGAACCCTTGGTTCCCCCACCGTGTTTCCGCACGCCAGAGCCGTGGCAGTGGGCTTCCAGCCCAAAACAATGGGCGCATTCCAGGGCCTCACAGGCCGGTTTTTGCCTTGAGACAAATGTGTATGTATATATATATACACACATTTATGTGTTTGTTTATTTATTTATTTATGTATTGACATATTGTTGCATATTGATATGTATTATTTATATGTGTATATCTTTCATCGAATCCATGGTGAAATCCAGGATTTTGTTCACCACTCATGAAATCACAGTTGGTCTTGAGAACTGGAGCATTTCCAGATCCAAGCTGCGCAATCACTGCAACTACACCCAGGGGCATCCGGCGAACCACCACCTGCGAGGGACGGAGGGCAGTTCTCAGCTGGGCGTGATGGTGAAAAAATGTGAAAAGATCAAAAGATCCAAAAATATGAAATTACAAAATCCCCCAACTATTGAAGATATCATCTTGCTCAATCCTTCAATGGTGACTTCTGAAATCACCACGACAGGACACTGCGGCAACTAGTAACTAGTGGGATTTCAATCAGCAGTTGGGGATATCACCAACAAACTATGCGATATAACCAACATGGGACCACAGACTATTGTGGGCACAATTTGAAAAACCAGAATGGCTTGTCGTACTCAACCGACAGTCAGCTGGCCAGTGCTGTGCTGCTGTGCCTTCTTCTCCTCATCCTCGGAGATCACACGTTCCTGTGGGAAAAAAAGTGGTGGAAAATGATGTAAATAAGCGCTATACAATGGGGGTTGGTGAATCAAACAAAACCATGCAACAAGACCTACATATATTTGGAAAGCCAATCACCACTCATCATTCGTCAGATTCAACCTGGCACCACAACACCCTGGCCTTGTTGATATCAAGAAATCCTCAGTGGCTGAGCTGTTCAGAGTGGGAGACGGGCAGATTGGGAGAGTTTCTGCCGGAGTTTGGAAAGATCTTTGGATGTAAAATTGTTAAACAACAAACCAGATTTTGGGGAGTCAAAACCCAAGGATCATGACATCCTGGCAACTGTTCCTGCTGTTCCTGGCATCCCCAAGATTGGGGGGATACAGGTTTTGGAATCATTTTGGGCAATGGATGCAGCAAAAACTTCTTGAACCCAAAGAATCGATCTTCTAATGCCAAGTATGACCAAAGCTGTTCCTTTGACATCCTATTTGACATTCCAAAACCATATGCTCTCAACGCATTTTGAGTCAAGACTCTCGCTGCATTTTCAAAGGTGGCTGCCGCTACAAGCACCTGCAACTGAAAATATTTCCCACAGCGGGCGGTTACGCAGCAAGGCCAATTTTCATTTGCATGGGGAGGTGCACCCCAAAAAGGGTTCCATGTGATACTTCTGCGCGAGGTGACATCAACGAAATCCAAAAATGACGTCCATTCAACGCAAGTCTCTAGTCTTGCTTTAACCAAACACGGCACCAGTGCCAATGCAATGCCGTGATATTGGCCATGCAAGTCGCAAAGGCATCCTAAGTTGAATTTCAAATCCCAAGTAACCCGCATGACCCTCGATATGATGTCAGAGTGCAAAGTTGCCTAATATCATGAGACAAGCCAAAAACAGATGCTAAACATTAATCCCTGCACCATTTCCCAAAGCATCTCCAATCACCAATCTGGGGACACGCCACATATGTCACATATCCA